GTATCCAAAAAAACGTCGCGAAATATCTTAACCTTTTGAGGCGTTTAAGAAAACGCCGTTATATACATACGCATTTACGGCGTTTGTGGAAAAACGCAGCTAAAGGTCTGGTTTATAGCGGCGTTTTTAGGATACAAACACCGCAAAATGTATGGTATATAGTGGCGTTTGTGGGGAAAATGCCGCTAAACCTCAACAATCGCCGCTATATATCGTTACCTATTACAACGTTTTTTGTTACCAAACGCCGCGAACTTTAACGGCGCTTAAAATGCCGCTATAGGTAAAAAAATGACACAAATGTACAGTTTTGTTGTAGTGCGTCTTTCTTCTTTGTTGCGTGCATAAGATAAACCCAATACTGGATTTATTACCTTCTCTTTGTATATTAGTCGGAACTCGTTTTTGGGGCTTCATTTGAGTTGTGCAATAAGTTGAGCCGGAGATCCACGAGACCCTGATTTTTTTATTTACTCTTAAATAAGTACAATTGTAGACACCTGTTTTTGTCCGAGCATTTAAAAATTATTATTATTAATTATTATTATTAATCTTGTTTATAACTTTTACAGGCCCAATACAAGCTAATTCAGGGCCCAATTCAAGCCATACTCAGAGCCTAATTACAAGCCCAAAGCACTCAACCCGGTTGGAGCCCCATGCCAGATCCAAACCTATTTAGGGTTTGTTACCATAATTTCATCAGCCACTACTGCGCGCTAATAATCTCCGGCCACCGTTTGAGCCGATCGCTGAGCCCCGAGCCATCACCGATCAGAGTCCAAATCAACAGTGATGGAGAGACAAACACAAACCAAAGTCAAAAGCAAATCCAACAACTCTTACCTAAACTAGTTAGTATCTTACCAAAAACAAAGAAAATGCAGATACGGACATGAAGATTCGGTGAAGAGACCAAGCATAAATTAAAGGGTTCGAACAGATAAAAAAAAAACAGAAAAAAAGAGGAAAAAAATAGAGAGAAAAAATCGATTAGAAAAATAAGAGAAAATATTTGAGTGAGAAAACAAAAGGTATCTTGTAAATCATTCGAAATCTATCAATAAAAATCCAGAATTTCAGGAAAAAAAGCAATACAAAACACGATTCACTATTTCTTTTAAGGTATATTTTTCATGTACATGCATTTTTTTTGAAATATAAGATATAAACAAATAAAAGATGATTTTTTTTTACCTTTGAAATCTCGGTTTTCCTTCGGTAGAGGGTCGTGGGTTAGAGACTAGGAAAAGAAAGGAGTCTTCGGAGTTAGATCCGGCCACCAAGATATGGTGGCCGGCCGTTTTTTTTTTGGGCCTAAAAAGAGGTTCGTCGGTGTGGTGAGTAGAGATGGAAGATGAGTGTTGAGAGAAAAAATGAAAGTAATAACAAAAGAGAGGCTAGGGTTTTACCTAATGGTTAAAATGTGATTTTTATAGGCAAGAAAAATGGAAAAAATTATATTGAAGCCATTTCAGTTTTAACTGTGTTTTACATTCACTGAAATTTATACGTTTTATTTTTATTTTATTTTAGATGGTTTAGTTTCATTAATTCTTATTTAGTCATTAGTCAATTATATATTATATTTCAGTTATTCTGATTTCGACTTCCTATTTGTATATATTTTATTTTAGTCATTAACCTTCTAACTGCTACTTTATTGTTTGAACTAATATCCTTATATTTATGTTATTGATTTAAGCTAATATAGTAAAATTTTATTTTGTTACTGTTGTTAGACAATTAATATTTTTATTTTATTGCTTAATAACACCTAACTTTTAATTTTATGAAATTTAATGTTTATGTTTTTTATATTTCAGTTACTTTAAATTTTAATATTTTATTTCCTTTTAAGTTCCAATATTTCATTGTTGTCTTTTAATTTAAGGTTCTTTTATTTCAATCACCACCCTTGTTGCTTGCTTAAATGGAAAATTTTCATATATTGAATATATAGTTTCTAATTTTTTTTATTTCCCCTTTTGTCATTTAATATTATGACATTTATTCTTCACTGTAAATATTTGGTTTTTATATTTATGCATGATTTTTACATTCCTTTTAAATGTTTGTTTCCTTAATTCATGTCATGATCCCTTTGATTTCCCACTATAACTTATAATATGATATGTTTTTAATTACCTTATTTATGTGTTCATATTATAGCCTAAAAAATAAATAGGTGTAAATATTATGCTATAAATATATATTACAATTTATTACCAAAAATATATTTGTGTTTTAACGTATAATAAAAGCATCTTTATTAGACATATATATGTAAATTCCCTCATAAATAGTCACTCCTATTAAATATGTATATATTGTGTACGTACAGTATACCTTTTTTTTTATATTTGTTACCTATGTTAAAGTATGTTTTGTATTATATTAAATATATATATAACCTATCCCTTATAAATAGTTACTTCCATTAAATATGTATATATTATGTACGTACAATATTTTTTCAATTTGTTACATATATTAAGCATGTTTTGTATTATATTAAATATATATATATATATATATATATATATATTTGTATTTTCTCCTATAAAAATAATTATAATTTTTGATTAAATAAATGGTTGTATTCTATAAAATATATTTCGGACTCTGTAATCTTTTTGACTCGTTGCATTTATTATTTCAGCTGTTTTTGAAAATTGATATCTTTTAAATAAATTCAAATAAATAACAAGATCGTAGTTTAAATATATTTTTTAAGTTTGCAATTCCCAATTAAAAAAACATATAATCGTTTAGGTACCAAAATTTGGGCGTTGTGGGGGTGTTAATCCTTCACCACGTGTAACCGACTTCCGAACCCGTTTTAATCGAATCTTTGGTAAACGCAGACCAACTTTTGTCTTAAAAAATGATTTTTTTTAAAGAAGCTTTTAGGTATTCGACCTACCTAACCCAAAGGTCGATGACGACTCTATCCAATTTAATTCAAAATCACCTATTTTTCAAAATTAAAGTCGTAATTATTTTTAAAACGAGAAGAAATTGTTTTGAAAAAAATGGTTATGACAACAATATAGTATATGTACTCATAGATTAGTTCAACACCTTATTTTTTCTTCCCTGAAAAAACATAGGTGATTGGTCCAGCATCCCTAAGTTGTTGTAACCAAAATAAATAAACAAAGAATTGATACAAAAATAAGTACTTAAATTTAATTTAGGTGTCAAATGATTTTTTGTTAAAAATGATGTATAACGTTTTCGACGATACACCTTTAAGTGTTTATCCTTAAATTCGGTCGTTAAATGATACGTGTCAGCTTATAAAAATATAACATTGAAAAATATAACGTTGGAAATGTAGGCATAAATGTTTTTAAGCACTTAAAGTTAATTTCAAGTATAATTTGAGTATTTATTTTTACATTAAACCTAAATTTAATGTAGATGAGATGTATAATTTTTTATCATTTTAAAAGTAGTATTTAAAACGTGAAAACGAGAATTTGAATATGAAAGAATGGTAATTTTTTTTTTGTAATTTGGGATGAAAAAATATTCTTTTATATAAGACATGGTGTTGATTTTATTTGTTCAAATAAAGTGAATGTTATAATATTGGAGAATACGTCTGAAGGATCTGACGTCTTTGACCAAAGACTAAGAAAGATATAACGTCTTCTTATGTGTTTATCTATAAAAAATACTAGATATTTTATGTGTCTTCATAAAGATATCGGGCGACCTAAAAAATAAATTCAAATGATCTCTATTTAGGATATTTTTTTACTTTCTTATTTGAGTGATTTTACCGTGAGTGATTTTTTAATTTTTTCTTAATAAAAGTAATTTAATGATATTTTTCGATATATCACACAAATAATATATTTCGATACACAAAGTTTATTCTAAATTTTTTCAATACTCGAGGATTGAAGAGTTTTATATAATAATCAATTTTATATTTATACATCTACGTTTAAAATATTGAAGAGCCGACAATCATTAATTTAAATGTCAGCTTCTACGTACAGATAATAATCATATTATATTTCTACATCTAGGTTTAAAATAATTACTCGGTTTTCACGTTTTAAATTCTATTTTTTTAAATGATAAAAAGATATATACTGATCACGTATATTTCAACATTTTCTTTGTTGCAGTTGTACGGTAAGATAAAAATACAATATTATTAGGTCAAAACAATAAACATAAAATATGTTATTATATATTAAATGGAAGTGTTAGTTTATCATGGCGAGATTGGATAAACTTGCTCCCAAAACATGCATCATGCTGATCTGTCTTCCATCTTCTTATCTGTTTGTCATGACTTTTAGGGAGAAGATTAGTGAAGGAGATGCATGTATCTGATACTTTTAAATGTACGCTGTTGTAGTTGAGCGTAAATAAGATAATTGTGCCCATTAGTTATTTAAGTTTGTTTTTTCAGAACACCATAAATTAATAAAAAAATTGTTTTTTTTAGGATAAAGTATATAAATGATCCTCCGATTATAGGACATTATTTTATTGAATATATCGACTATTAAAAGTTATGAAATGATCCATTGACCACAAGTCATTGCTTTGTTTAGTTACTCGACTATTAAAAGTTACAAAATAGTCATTTAACTATTTATATTTTCTAAATTCATCATTTTTTGTTAAAAAAAGAGACAACAGACTGAGTTAGACGTTAATCTACTAACTGTGATATGATAAAGTATAATCCCAAAATCCCAAACGATCGACTATCATATCTCAGTTAATATGTTAAAGTTCAACTCATGTGTCATAAATTTTTAACAAAAAAAGACGAGTTTAAAACGTATAAATAGTTGAATTACCGTTTTATAATTTTTAATAGTCGAGGTACTTATTTTAAAAATCATTAAAAATTTTCACTAAAGAAGAAGATACAAATTACTAGTCCGAAAACATGTTTTATTTTCCAGTCAGGGCTATGGGTATATAAAGAAGGGCTATTTGCATTGTTTTCAATCATTGAAAAGAAGAAAGAAAGGTAGAGTTTGTGGAAGATGGTGAGAGCTCCCTTCTATGATAAAGATGGATTAAAGAAAGGTGAATGGAGTCCTGAAGAAGATCAAAAACTAACATCTTATGTCCAAAGATATGGTCATTGGAACTGGCGTCTTCTTCCTACATTTGCTGGTATTCTTTCACTCTTTTCCTAAGTATTATTAGAATACTCAGATTTTGAGAATTTTCCCTATGATTTCATGGAAAGAGATTGTTTCAGCTTTCTTATAACATAGGTTGGATTTCTGCATCTAATTTGGCATTTTTCCTGACAGAAAAGGCTAATTATTGTTAACTGATTCATGTTAGTAGAATAATCTGTTTTGGTTTTTTTTGTTTAGGTCTTAAAAGGAGCGGAAAGTGTTGTAGGTTAAGATGGATGAATTACCTACGGCCTGAAGTAAAACATGGAAACTTCACTGAAGAAGAAGATGCATTGATCATCAAATTACATGCACAATGTGGAAACAGGTTGGACTTAGTTTTAACATCCAGTTTTAAGAACATTTTTAACCAACAATCTCTAACGTAGTTTTCTTTTGTAACTAAACAGATGGTCCACCATCGCTAAAAGTTTACCAGGAAGAACGGACAGTGAAATAAAAAATCGCTGCCAGGCTCAGCTAAAGAAGCGCACACAACGAAATACGACAGCATCTGATGTGAAAGATACCTCTAGTTGTCAAAGTGAAGCCACCCAGAATTCTGAAGCTAAAGCCGAAAGCATCATTGTTAATACTCCCGCCAACATGATCGTAGAGAGTTCCCCCTTGACTCCGGCAACATCTTCAACAACTGAATTGTCTTCCTTCAGCTCCGGCAGTGGATCTATGTCTGGATTAAATGTTATTAGGGGTATAGAAGACACTTATTTTCTTCCTTCTTCGGAAATATATGAAGTTCAAAGCAGTGGAGATTTCTGGAGTGAGCCCTTCGTTGTAGACAATATCTACGACTACAACCAAGACGGTGGTAATACGTCATCCTTGGAAAAGGGTGGATTTCAGCTGCCATTACCTTTTGACGACATGTACTATGATGACTATGCTGATTTGCTCCACGACTTGATGCAAGTGTAGGGCATAAAATTGTATTTCAATTTTTTTTCCAATTGCTGGCACCATGGGTATGCAGCTCAAATAATCTACATCACAGCAATGTTAAAAATATGAACGACAGATACGCTTAAAGAATATTGCAGCGCTCTAGGGATTTTGGCTGAGAAAGAATATAATTCTGTATTATTGCTTAATGAGCAAAGACCCAATACATTGCATATATATAGTCTTAGACTAACCGGATGGACTAATCAATTCTGACCAACTATTAGTTAACAAACTAATCAGCTAAGCTATACACCAATGATAATCATCATAATACTCTATGATTTTTTCTGGTGTTCTTTTTTTCTGTTCTTGAAGTCCTTCATCAATAGCAACAACTCCAAGCTTGGTTGTAGGGATGCAAAAAGGCATAGGGACATAGGCTTGGTAAGAACATTGGCTATATGTGCTGCAGAAGGCAGAAAATTAACGACTACCTGACCAGCAAGTACTCTCTCTTGAACAAAATGCATATCAATCTCAACATCCTTAATTCATGCATGCTGAGTAGGGTTGGCAGCCATAGAAACCGTTGAGATGTTATCACACCATACAACCGATTTTTCTTCCACACTATCACCAATTTCAATTAATAATTGTTCAACCCATATCAGCTCTGAAATTGAGTTTGCGAGACTTGTATTGAGCCCCTGAAGTCGATCTAGACACCACCGAATGTTTCTTAGAGCACCAAGTTATAGGATTATCGCCCAAGTAAATGCAGTGCCCTGATGTCGAGGGACGGTCCTCTACCGAAGCTGCGTAGTCTGCATCTACACAGTAGACAAGAGAATAGGAACCACTGGCTCTCTACAATAACCCATAATTGAGAGTACCAGAGAATAGGAACCGCTAGCTCTCGATGCACGAGCTGTTGAGATCATCTTCAAAGCTCAAACAACTATAAAGCTTTTAGAGTTCAAGCCATCGATAATTGCAGCGTCGGCGCTTCTCTTGGCCTCCAATGAACTATTTCCCTCGCAATTCCACTGCTCTCACAAGGCAATTTCCAGCTGTTCATACGTACATAAGGTAAAATATGTTGTTCCGACTTTTTTTACAGTATACCATTGAACCATAAAACATTGCAGTACACAATGTGGTTTGAAAATGCTAATTGAACATCTGGTTTATTGATGTTTTTGCTATATGTGGTAATGAATTGGGGTGCAGGAAAACCTGTTAAAATGCTACAATTGGATGGAAGAGATAGGGAAGGAGAGAGATGATATGGTTTCCAGGTGCAACACTGCAGTCAATGTGCTCGGCCTGCAATTTTCATGTTCAGAAAGTGAAAACGGAAGCGCCATTACCAGAGACATCAAGGGAAGGAAAATTAATGATTACCCCGACAATCAAACGGCCCGCCATTCTCAGGTCCAACACTGTTGACGATGAGAGTGACCACTAGGAGAAGTTGATGTACTGTTTCATGGATTAGGTGGAGTTATCAGTTAAGGGAATTTTGTTTTCCTTTGCTTTTTGTTTCTTCAAGGTACCGGCACAAAGACAAATCATTTCATGGCTTTGAATTGTAGGGTTGGATTTTTGTTGATCTGTCGGGTGTTAATCTGTTACTATGGTTGTTGTCTCTTGGTGAATGACAGCGACAACGCCTTCTCTTTTCTTTTGTCCAAATAGTGACAATATTAATAATGTTAATGATATTTATACCATATTTAATATTATTATAAGATTTTTTATTATGTTATATTTTGAAAAACCTTTAGAATATATTATTTAAAAATAAAAATATTCTTTTAAGATTTGATCGTGACTAATAAATTTATATAAAATTATCGACAAACTTTTTTAGATAATGTAGTGGAAAATAAAAATGGTCCAAATGGGGTGATAAAGAATTTGTTTTCTTAATTAAAGTGTTTATTACGGTGTAAGTAATAAGACATAAGGTATACTTGACGTCCTAGAGAAGACGCATGTACTACATGCAATCCGGTGTATTGTGTAGTTCAGAAATTGCTCAATTGTCTGAACGTCTTCTCAATGACACTGAATACTCCCAATGTCATCTTACAAGTATTGTAAAAAACAACTTAGTTATTTTTTTATCATCCTATTTAAATTATTCTCTTTTTTTACCTTTCAGGAAAATATCTTTTTTTTTCACTACATTGTCTAAAAAATGTTACTAAAATTTATAAATCATCCCATTTATAATTACTGTTTAATAAAATTTGAAGAATATGCATTGTATATAAAATATTATATTTTATTGTATTGTGATAAAATATAATATAACTAACACATTTTTATTTGCTCTTTATTGTCATGTTTACTGTTTTTTAATAAAAATATATTTTCAAAAACCAAAATATCAATTCTTGCTTAAAAACAGACCACATCACACAAAACCTAAGCAACTATTCCCATATAATAAAAGAAATGAAAAGAAAATAGGGAAGAATATACAACGTAAGAATTAAATGCACGTCCCATTGGGCATTGGAAACCAAAAATGGTTGATATTTGAAGCTGTGGAAGTGGAACCTCTGCAAACTGCAAGCAGTCACATGGAATCCGAGAGAAAATCTTAAAAGTCATAATGAGAAGCTTCCAAAACGTAATAAATAAGAAGGTTATTCAGAACGATGATAGAGGAGTGGATAAATATCCTATGTTTACAATCAAGTTTGGTAACTTTGTGGCGTTAAAAGAATCTTCAATTGCAAAAGCAAGAGCTATCCTCAATGAAGACGACATTGGCTCTATTGTTACTCCAAGTAAACGTTTCTAGCATCTATTTAATTTTTTTCCAACAAGTGATTCAGTTCCCAAGCCACCTCCAATCAAGTTTAATACTGTTGGTGGCAGTTCGTTATCTATTTCAAGTGAAGCACTGAAGCGCGCAAGGAGTCTTCTTGGTGAACCGAAGGTAGGGGATTTATTTGGTGAAATGGATGAAGAGTTTCTCCATATAGAGTTTACACGGATGAAAAACTTAATGATGCGTCGTCAAACAAGGAAAACAACTTTCCTATGTCCTTTCCCCACGAAGGAGCAATGAAGACTAAATTCTAGTGAACAATATGGTGAAGACTGTTTATGCATAACTTTAATGTTTCTAAATTTTAATATATTTTGTTGTTAAGTATTTTTATGCATTATGTTTTAATTAAAATGTATGGTTGTTGTTAATTAGATAAAAGTACATGATAGTAAAGTTAGTTTATGTAGAGCATAAATGGAATATTTAAAATCAAGTAAACTTATATAAATTAAGGTAATTAGCGGTATTTGTATAAAAAAAGCCGCTATATACTTAAATTTTTACGGCGTTTATATCAACAAACGCCGAAATATAATTGTACATTAGCGGCGTTTTTATACAAATGTCGCAATAGGTTAGATCTATAGTGGCGTTTATCAACAAATGTCTCAAAATATTTGTACTTTAGGGGCGTTGTTATACAAACACTGTAATAGGTGTAAACTATATTGGCGTTTTTCAACAAACGCCGCAAAATATTTATACTCAGCTGTGTTTTTATAAAAACGTCGTAATAGGTGTAATATATAGTGGCATTTTTTAGACAAACGTCGTAAAATATTTGTACTTTAGTGGCGTTTGTATATAAACGCCATGACAAAGTCATACATTAGTGGCAATTTAAAAAAAAAACGCCGTGAAAGAAATACCTATAGAGGCGTTCGGATTAAAAACGCCACAAATTTCTTTAAAACCCCAAAATTACCAGTTTACGAGCCCTAACATCATTTTCGAAAAATCACCCTCTCCCTCGCATCAGTTTCATCTGTCATCGAAAGAAAGGTATTTTTGATCAACAAACTCAAACTGAGCATCATTTGCTTCCTTCTGTTGGCTACGCATCGACTTCCCCACCAATATTCTTCTCTCTTTTCTCTCTGACATAAACCTCAAAATCAATCCAACTTCATCTCCGTGCAAAACGCCTCCTATATACATTGCCTTTGAAGAGTTTGATAAAATTAGTGTTACTCAGGGCTGGACATTCTACTAAAGGTAACATTCTTTTCTCTCTAACATTGTGCTTTCCACTGTCCAGTTCCTTATTTTTTCTTCTCCTTGTAATGATTTTTTTTTACTTTAAATATGACTGCAGGTCCATCATTAGCCATTTCCCCTGTAAATTTATAGTTTTCATGTTCTGTATCAAAATTGAGATGATTATATTATTAACTCATTTGCCTCATGTTTTTGTTCCCAATAATCAATCATTTCTTTTATTTGACAATCATATAGGAGAGTTTAAAGTATAAATTATTGGGTTCATAAGGCGACATTGGTTCATGGGGCGATGAGTATGTGAGGTGAGCATTTAATTGGTTTGAAAAGATATTATGTTTTACTCTTTTGGTACTGGAAATTTTGTATAACCAATGCTTCATTAACTGTTGCTAGCCAAACCTTTATCAGATCATTGAGCACGGTTTAAGCTTACATGTCTTTGTAATCTATATTTCTAGATAGAATTTTATCTTTAACAGAAAAGTTCTATTAAAAGTCATCATGTGGGTTTATTTAAACTATTGTAATCTCCTAAATTCAATAATCAGTTTCTCTTCCATTGCCTCTTTTATTCTTTCCCTCTCATTTGGTTTATTTCCTTAGAATAAAATATACTTTAGTTGCCATTGCCCTCAAAACTGTGGTACTGCACTACTGCTGTTATGTTGTCATTTTTTTGTTCCTTGTTTAAATATTGTTATCCTTTCAATTTTAAGTTGTTGTTTTGACATGTGAAGTGTTATGCTGCTCTCTTTTTAGTTGATTTTTATCATGAAAAGATGTATCATTTATGCCATATTGCTGTAGCTTTAGGTTAGTGACTATGTTGGAATTGCCTTGCTAGCAGATCCCACAACTTCTTCATGCAATTTTAGTTCACACGGTTGGAACTTAGAAAGTGTTATCAAAATATAATATTTTATCTTTCATTCAAAGCCTTCTTGCTTATGAAGTTCTATATAATCCAAGCTTGTCGCAACATTCTACTGCAATTAGTGTTTTTTTCCTTGACACGGTGTTCTGGTTGTCTTTACCTTACCTCTTTATTC